TAAGATCTGTGATCATACGATGTCTTCACAGAAAATATGTACAAAGGTATTTCATTTTCCGTTATTACCATCTTAACTTATTGTTCTAAGTTTTGTCGTCCTCTGATTAAAATTTACCTCATTGGTTATGATTAAGGTTATTTTAAAGTCATTCTATCTTCCAATTCTACTTAAAAGTTTTCAAGTATGGCATTATTTCCACCTGTTATTGATGAGGATAATCAAAACCATAAATGCAAATGATTTCATAATCCTCTTTTGCTTTTCTCTATTTTAGGACAATTTTATTATATTTGATTTGCATTAGTCTCTTATTCATTCAGGATACTTAATAGCATAGATTTGTATTTTTACATTTCAAGGAAAATTTTACACATTCTTTTAGAATAATTTATTCATTTTTATTTGTTACTTAGGATTCAAATTCATAACACCTTACGTTTTACGGTAACTCCGTGGAAACAACAATTAAGGTATTATGCAGATTATCCAGATCATGTCAAAGTGCAGCTTCCTGCGTTATCACCTACTATGAACACAGGCACAATTGTCAATTGGCACAAAAAGGAAGGTAATGTAAATAATTTATGTGTATAATAAACTCATTAACAATTGTTGGTGTTGTATCATCATTTTAGGTGACAAGTTGAATGAAGGTGATCTACTTGCTGAAATTGAAACTGATAAAACTACGATGGGTTTTGAAACACCAGAAGAAGGCTATCTGGCAAAAATTATAGTAGCTGCAGGAACAAAAAATGTCGCTGTAGGCAAATTAGTTTGTATAATTGTCCCTGATGAAAGTTCTGTAGCTGCCTTCAAAGATTTTAAAGACGATACTCCAGCAACTACTGCATCAGCTACCGTTACATCAAGTGTTCCTACGCCATCTACTTCTCCACCATCTACTCCCCCACCATCCCCTGTAACGCCACCAGCACCTGCAGCACCTTCTGCCCCAAAACCACTGCCTACTGCATCAGGAGAGAGAATATATATTAGCCCATTGGCTAAAAGACTTGCAGCTGAAAAAGGCCTTGCTTTGGAGGTAAGTTTTAGGTCATATAAAATTAAAAAATTTTAAATAATTCTATTACTTTCTTAAAGGGTTTAAGAGGTTCAGGACTATATGGATCCATAACATCCAAAGATTTAGTAGGTGCACCAGCTATGGCTGTTCATCCTACAGTAGCAACAGCAACAGCTACAACAGAAGGGATGGATGTTCCAGTATCCAGTATCCGCGCAATAATTGCAAAACGTTTACTGGAAAGCAAACAAACAATTCCACATTATTATTTATCAATAGATGTAAAAATGGACGCCGCACTCGAAATGCGAGAACAATTTAACAAGATGTTAGAAAAAGAAAAAATAAAGCTTAGTGTAAATGATATCATTATTAAGGGAATGGCTATGGCTTGTAAAAAAGTACCTGAAGGTAACAGTGCATGGTTGGGAGAAGTTATTAGACAGTAAGTAATATGTTGTAATAAATAATTGCTATTAGTAGCAGGAATTATAATCATATGGATTAAATTTCCTCTTTCTTTCCCCCTTTTTTTTTTTTTTTTTTTAATACAATAATGTTGACGTAAATGTAGCAGTCAGTACAGAAAGTGGCCTAATTACACCAATAGTTTTTGGTGCAGACACAAAGGGTATAGTTCAGATTAGTAAGGATGTAAAAGAATTAGCTACAAAAGCGAGAGAAGGAAAATTGCAGCCGCAAGAGTTCCAAGGAGGAACTATCACTTTGTCAAATTTAGGAATGTTTGGTATTAAAAATTTTTCTGCCATCATAAACCCTCCTCAGTCAATCATTTTAGCTGTAGGCACAACTGAAACCAGGTTAATACCCGCCAAAAATGAAAAAGGGTAAGTGTTTTTCTCCAGCTCTTTTTTTACATAATATTTTACATTTTATTCTTTAGTGACTTATTTTTTTTAGATTTACAACCACCCAATTTATGTCTGTCACTGCCAGTTGTGATCACCGTACCGTAGACGGTGCAGTAGGCGCACAGTGGTTAACAGCTTTTAAGAACTTCATGGAAAATCCAACAACTATGTTGTTGTAGTAAATTTAGCCACTGAGAAGTTCAATGGGGTAGTTTCAACAGGTGCAAAGAAACATTGTTATGTTCAGGAAGGTGACCAAGAATATTCTGTACATTTGTGTATAGTACAATATAGAATTGTGTTACTTTACGCATTTGTAAACCATCAATTTTTGATAGATTCGAATTTTTCAAAGTCACATTGTATTTCTTTTATGTAAAAACATTATTAGGACAACAATATTTGCGGAATCAAGGTGACATTATATCATTAGATCATATTTTTCCTAATGTACTATATATGTGGTTTTTCATTGAATATAAAGTAAAAGACTGACGATTAATTTCACCATTAAATAAAATAACAATCTCATTACTTTATTATTGGTGTAAAAACCACATCTTTGTCCCAGCAATAGTAGTGGTCACGTGTAAATATGTGTATTTATGAAATAATATTATGGCCACCATACATTGCAATAATTTAATTATAACTTAGGGGAAATTGTGAAGGAAAATGTGTCAAAATGTTTATAGTAAGTAATATACGTAAATGTATATCATATTTAATAAATTGTAACTTACAGATTTAATGTTATTTTTATTTTTAAGCTTGTGTTATATCTATGGATACGTAAAATAACAATACAATCCTATTATATTATGTAATAAATAATAATAATCATGATAATCATATAATGTCATTTATGAAGATTGAAGAAAGCGCGGTTATCGATCATACTGGCGGAACTGCTGTCAGAGAGGAAATGAGAATGCTCACACTAATAGACCTGATTGTTCCCGAACTAGTGCTGCACCATGCGGCCAAGTGCTGAAGTCAAAGTTAGCATATACAATATCCTATAAAATTAGAGATCTGCTCTGTTTGGTTCTTTGAGATTATTGCGGGTGCGAGTAAATATGTTAAAAAAACAGCTGTCGAAGTATGGATTAAAACATACGTTTGGTTCACAGGACGTAACACTTATATTATTGCGAAATATATATGGATCATAATTAACATCGTTTTTTAAATAAAGTGTATTTCTTTAAATATTATAATCATATACATTTATAAATATAAAGTTAATTTCGAATTCATAACCTACCTTATTAAAAGAAAAATGTACTAGATTATCCAATGATCATATCCAAGGATCATCACTCCAATGAGTGCTACCGCTACTCACGTGTATATGTATACTTCAGCGGGCAACTATCAGAAAATGGAAATCCAGACATCATTCTCATGGAATTGTCAAGATTTTTCGAGTCATAGAAACAAATATAAAATTTTATCAATCACATTACATTTTAAATCAATATAAAGGTAATACCTTAATAATACAGTGAAGAAGAAAATAGGTAAAAATGTCAATAATTCGACAAAAATATTTAATATATCTATATATACTTATTGACATTTATGTTGTAAGTAGTAGGCGAATATTTCAAATGAATAATGATATATCAAACGCTATATGTATTTAGCGATTATACCATACTTTATTTATAAATTTCATATTTAAGAAATAATTTCCCGTAACTTATTTTCTATTACATAACAATGTGAAGCTTAACATTTTTCAATAATAATATAAAATTCAAAATGTTATATTATTTCGAATTTTTGAAAAGCAGCAACTAATAGAATTTGTTGATTATAACGCCATCATTTGATAACACTTTCTTCATTATATTATATATATTTTTTCATTGTTTAAATAATATAAGATTATGAACTAGTTATAATACACTTTATATCGTATTTGGTGTTATTTTACTTACAAAAGTGTAAGAAACATGTTAGTAAAAGTTTTATAAGTTTTCGCAAAAAAGCTGATTATTTGATTCGTTTTAATCATTTTAGAACAATAATATTATATCTTAATTAAAAAGGACAGTGTAAATAGTAAGAAATATATCTTTAGAAACCATTTAATACATATATATTGTTCATATACATTATATTATATAAAAATATGTCACGTGTAAACGCCAATCAATCCCGAACGATCAACCATAGTAATGAATGAAACTTTTACTAACATATTTGTTATATTTTTCTAAATAAAATAAAATGAGACCAAATACGGTACAATTTGAAGCATATTCGGAAGCAAATATAATATATGATAAACTAATAAAAAATAAATAAATATTATAGAAGGAACTATATTTAATTATTGCTATTATCTATCTCAGATAGAAAAGTAGAACCGTACAATGAAATAGGCTTTTGTAGCGTGACACCATATCGATTATGGCTCGTTTATGACAGAACTAAATAGGTTCTTATATATACTAGGATAGAACAACTTCCACACATGGCCGCGTGGTCCAGCTCAGTATTGTAGAACATACTCAGTGACGTGAGTATTCTCATTTTTTCACAAGCGTAACATACTGTGAATATCTCAAAGAGAGAGAGAGAGACGGAGACACTCTACTCATCTCTGTCTATCTGGCAAGAACACTAACTTTACTGTCTTCCATGTTGATTTTTCACGACTGGTCATGATTCAATTTTCGGGCGGTTTTCCCTAGTGAGTGTCAAGACCTGTTTACATAACCATGGTTCATATTGTTGCCAATATAGTTTGAAAGTCACACAATTTTACTGTGGGTATTCCTATAGATGATAGCAGACGACAGATTTATCAGAAACTGTTTTAGAACTAGCACAAGTTGTTATTACACAAACATAATTTTTGTAATCATCAAGAATCATATTTTAGTATTCTATTGACTTTATGTACAACTGGTTAGTACTTTTCTAACAAAAGTTTCTGTGAATATACATGTTTTTCCAATAATAATTATATATAAATATTACAATTTTATAATAGAAAAATTTTCATGTAAATGGAAGTAATATACAGGATGTTTTAGAAAAGATTCCGATCTTAAGACTTAAAGATTTTATAACATTCACCAAATAAAAAATATCTAATCGACATATCTTTCGACATAAAATCAACTTTTATTGTTTATTAGCGTTGGATACCATAAGTGAGTCTTTTCGCAATACATTGAATTATATAGTTAATGAAAGCGACCGTATTCACTAGTATGTAAGTAGTACTTATATACATAATACTATCCTACATACTTAGTTCGGTTTATCATTCTTTAGAAGTTTCTTTAATGTTACGCATAATTGCTTGACAGTGTATTTTTTCAAAGTTTGGAAGACAACGAATAATTTTACATGCAGACTATTATGAAAACCACTTACAATTTATACAATTATGTATATTCATATAAACTCGGAATAATTGAGTTGAATTCCACAATGACGAGTTAAATCATTTAAATGCCAAAAATTAAAGGATGGATGTTACGGATAATGTTGATGGAGCTTTAGATCCTCGAATACAGGTAATTATCTTTATAAAAATGATTTTTCCATTTGTTTTGCTTATGCCAATAAATATATATTTTTTTAAAGTTATAGGTTATATGCGTAAATAAATGATTACTAAATGCAAACGTAATGCCTAATACAGCCTGGTACCATGTTCCACTTTGCTTTCACTTCATTTTCATTCTCAACGTTTGTCAAATAATAAATGTATATATCTAATAGTAGTTATTTAATTGTAGATTATTATTTTGATAATGTTCTTAAAATAGTTGTTTAATGTATAATATCTATTGTTGCAAACAATGTATAACGTGTAGTTATTTTTATTTCCTTAATGTTATTTGTTAATATCAAAATAATAATTGTCTTTATTATAATAATAATAATTATTATTTTAACGAATAATTTGTAAATAGTAATTTATACAAATTAAAATTATTATTTGATCTATAATTTATCAAATGTAAAAATTATCTGCAGGAATTCACTGTTTTTTATTAAATAGGAAATATGTAATTATAAATATTAAAATCTTTGTAATAGTAAAAATATCAACCACTAAGAAATAAAAAGAATAGAAGTTATATAATAATTAAAATAATTAGAAATACTTCCATGAAATTTAACTATATATAAAAAAGAATATCTCAAAGAATATATGAAATTCAGTTATAATTTTTTATAACATTGAAAATACAAAATACTAATGTGTTGCATATTAGGCAAAATTATATATAGCATATAGAAATTGTCATTAAAAAATAAGTGCCACAAAATTATTCAGTATAAATCATTTTGAATTTTTAGATTGAGTTAGAGAATTTGAACGATGCAACAGATGATATAAATAAACTTGAAACTGAATTGGATGTAAGTATTAATTCTTTCAGACAATGAAGTTAAAAGCTTTTTGTACTTTATGTATAAGCTATATTAGGATATTGATTAAATGATTTTACATAACATTTATGATGTTCAATTTGTATATAAATGTATTAGTTTTATTTTTAATAATATTTAATTCTTAATGATATATAATATTTATTGTTCAGGAAGCTCACACTGCTTTTAGGCAACTATTATCTGAAACTACCAAAAGATTAAAGGAAATATTAAATAAAGTAGGAAATAGTTGCGTTGAAAAAGCAAGGTGTTATTATGAAGCACTTGAAGTGGCACGTCAAGCTCAGGTGAGACCATAATTAAAATATTTATTAAATTTTGAGATATAATTGAGCAAAATTTGATACAGATAAAATGTCAACAACAAGCTCAACTATTCCAAAGAGCAAGCGAAATTCATGTGGCGGCAAAAGAAACTGTGGCATTAGCCGAGAGTAGATTTATGTCACATCAACATGAATGGAATTTTGATCAAGCATGGCAGGATATGCTAAATCATGCAACACTTAAAGTAAATATGATAAATTAATAAACATTAAACTATATAATAAAAAAAAAATGGTGATGATTATGTTAAAACATGTACATATGAATATGATGAAGAAAGAATAAAAATTAAAGTTCAGTTCAGTTAATTTTGGTTATATTATGACTTAGGTTATGGATGCTGAAAATCAAAAAGCAGAATGTGGTAGAGAACATTACAGAAGGGCAGTATTGTTTCATAATGCTGAGAAAAGATTGTTACAACTAGAGGAAAAACATCGTCGTTCCATAATAAAAGCGCGACCATATTTCGAAGTCAAAGCACAGTGTGATCAAATGTTAGCAACTCAGAAAGAACGAGTCGAATGTTTACAAAAAGCAATACAAGATGCAAAGACTAATTATGCCACAAGTCTCCGTAGGTTGGAAGAAATTAGTAATCAAATACATCAACAGCGTCGAGATTATGGTATATACTACTTCATATTATTTTGATCAATAATTCTTTATAGTTAAATTTTTTAACTTTATGTTAATTATATCTTTTAAATCGCATTTACAGATTTTATAGCTAACGGACCCAGAGAACCAGGCGTTGGTGCAGAATTGGTTAGTCCACAAAAGAATTCAAACTATGATGTAGAATTTAACCAATTAAGTTGCAGTAAAATAAAGGATTTCATGAATAATCAACTAAAGAAATATAATAGGATACAAGATTATGATGTGAGTAAATACTTTATTATGTTTTTGTTATAAAAATTTGTGCATTGATAAACATCAATTCTTAATTGTTCCTTGTATTACAGAATGATTATCAGTTACAAGAAGATACTGAAAATCTTGGGAAAAGATCGGTTGATGGAAGCGAAGCAATATCTTCTCAATGGGAGTTTGAGCTAGGAGCTAACATAGAAAATTTGAATAATTTATCTGTCAAGAATTCTGTGCTTGATCATGATAGTAAAAACGAAAGTATGTCTGATTTACATTTTTATAACGAGGAAAATGCAAAATCAAATAATTTCATACAAGAATTAAACTATAAACTTTTGCAAGATACAGATCATTTCATGCAAAATTTAAGTCAATCAAAAAAATTATTAAATGATTTTCAAATGTTGAAAAATTCATTTGTAAATACGCGTTTAACGAAACATTTTGAAGAACCAAATTCAGTAAAACGTGAAGTTATTGATTCAGTAATGTTAAACAAACATAAAAGTAATTTAAAGAATTGTGTATCGAAATCGTTAAATAATACTCCTATAAAAACAAATATACTTAATTTCAGCTCGAAATTTACAGAAATGAGTATACGTCAATGTATAGCAAAATATGTGCCAAATAATGTTTTCAATTTTGGTTTTAGTAATAACAAATCTCAAAGTAGCAGCGATATTAATTTATCTTTAAATCTTGATACCAATTCCATAGAAAAACAACAAAGTTTAGATGATATTATAGATCATAAGACTGATCGTGAGAATCTCAAATTTGATAATGTTACAAATTTAGAATATAATAATACATTGAAAATAAAAGAAGCTAATGATAATGGCCTAAATAACGCAAGAAAAGTCTATGATGCACAATGTAATGACTTTAACAGGATAAATTTACAACCGAAGTTTAGATCTAATTCTACACATTTCTTATCTTTTAGTGCTAGCTTATCGCCAATAGAAGTAAAATCGATTGATTTATCAAGTGAAAAGTCATTGAATAGAAATTTAACTGATTGTAATCAATCTGTTCCAAAACCAAAAGAAGAGCAATTAAGTGTTAATGAATTACCATTATTGTCACTATTTGAGGAAGGTAATTCCTTGATCAATAGTAAAACTAAAAGTTTTAGTATGATTAATTTAGGTGAAAACCGGAATTTCGTACTATCGGGTGACTTACGTTTAAATAATACAAAAAGCACAGAAAAATTGGCAAACTTGAAAGATGGTTTCTTTCTTAAGTCTACAAGATAAAGAATAAAAATTACAATCAAGTGAAACAAATGTGATATATTATAAATTTTATAATTTTTTAAATAAGTTTAAACATAATTTCATAAATGGAATTGTACTATTTTTTACTTTGAGTCATATACAAAAGTTCAATAATATTGATTGTATAAATTTTGTTTGACAAGTAGCTATAAAATAGAAATAAATATGAATTATTTATCAAAAAAGAAATTTATAAAAAGTAATTACATAAAAACAACATTTTATTAGTGCAAAATGTATGCAAATCTCATGCATATCAAATATAGCAACTTAATTTGGACTTTAAAAATGTATATATAAAAAAAGACGTTATTTCAAGAAATTCGTATCTTCATGATAACATTTTGTAACAAGTACATAATCCATACTTATGTTCAATTATATTCATTAAATTATTTTTCATTATGGTTTATTGCTAGCGCACTTTATTAATTATATATATTGCTTTTCTCAATTCTCTATGTTTATTGCAGAATTTTCATGTTATAGAAAATTGTATATTTATGATTCAAATTGAAAAATATTTTGTTTCTATGTAGAAAAAGTGATATTAATTTTTATAAGAATGTAATCAATTAAAATTGTATCTAAATACGTATGTAAAAGATGTGTAATTTTTGTCAGCAAAAATTTTAAAATTAATTTTGTTATGTAGAATTTATATTTATTATACAGACTTCTTATTTCATTTTTAATTTATATAATTGTACAATAATTTTCGTTTTCATATTAAGTTTTTAGGCAATCTTCCTTGGTGCCGTATAATTTATTAAAAACTTTCTCTTGTACAGCATAATTTTAGAATAATACAATTATTATAAAATTATCTGAAATTAATCAAATTAATTTACATTTAATTCCTTTATATTAAAAATTTGCAGTTTCTTACCGATTTTAATAATTAAATGCAAAACTTATGAATGCCATTAATAATATCGATTTGTCATCTATGATTTAATAGAAATTCATTTGTATTTTTTTATGTAAATATTGTATACATATTTCTAGATTTAGATAATAAAAATTGTATTGGCCTGTGATTCTTTTTTACTTGAGCTATGTATGGTACCATTTCCTGAACTGAGAATATAATTTTTATATTTTAAGATAATAATTAAAATTAACGTTAGTATTTAGTAGGATTTTCGTTTTGTAAGATTTTCAATCTTGTATATTTACATGTATATATAACTTTTGTGTTATATATAAATATACCAATTTTAACATTAATATTTAATTTGTTGATGGTTATATTATATAAATTTATATTATACTTATATTATAAATAATATTACTAGGGACGACGTAGATAAAATAATTGGCATAAATTTTTGGTAATTATTAAATTATCTTTTCGATGAGAATTTGAAAAAATGAAATAAATAAAATTTTAAATAAAGATAATAAAAATAGGAAAGACAATAATACTCGTCAACATCGTTAAATATATTTCTAATCTTCAAAGGGTAGTCAAATATTTGAAGGTTTCGAGAAGTGACAAAGGAGATAGATGTCAAAATGGTTTTTCAAATCTAATCGGCAAATCATACGTATCGAAGTTTACATCGTCAATGTACGTAAAACGTTTTTAAGTAGTAAATTGCAGCGAACGGAAAACAAAAGCTTTCATTAACGAACATTTTATATGCACGTTTAAATTATCCCTTTATTCGAAAATATTGGAAATATTGAAATTGTTCATGAATTTATGGAAGTCAAGAAAATTGAAGAATTTTCCTGGAATTAATAATACAATATTGATTATATACTTAGCAATACTTTGAAATTTGGTAATTATCTGACTTTTTCACTGTGAAAATCTCTTATTGCTATTTTATAAATATTACATATATAATTTGCATAAAATTTGAAGTTTCTTTTCTCATTTGTCTTTTCACGTATAAATAAAAACATAATAAGTAAAATATAATAAATATAATACATATAAAATAAAAATACAAATAAAAAATTTGTAATGTTTATAAAAAAATTGAAATCAAAGTATTATTCTTTTTAATTTTATAAAAATTGTAATTTTATAACTAATATTAAATAAGTAAAAAATATTCATCGGTTAATTACGTATATAGTTACATTTTTCATACTGAAATTTTGGAAATTATAACTTTGTCTAGAATGAAAAAATATATATGTTTGTATTTTCCCATAACTTTTTCAAATTAATCTTGCGATGATTATATACATTTATTTTGATAGAACAATAAAGAAAAAATGCATGAATTAAGTTAGCAAAAGTTATAATGATATCCGTAACATTTTGTAGTAAAGAAAGCGAGCTACGACGAAACACGATATACAAAATTGAAAAAGTATCGTTCAAAGTGATATACGTGCTGACTTGAGAATTCAAAGAAAAAGATGGAAAAAGAAAATCAGCGAGCTAATAAAGCAAACTGCAATTCGATAAAAAATCAGAACGAGGCACGTGACTTAGTATTCAAGGGAAGCCAGATTCGAAATTGTGAATAAATAGATTGAATTTCATTTTAATTTTTCACCACTAGAATTCCCTTTCAAAGAAGAAACTAATTTATATCTTAAATTTACAAGAAATTTTTTTTACTTATTTTAAATACACCATTTTTTATAAAAATATATTTTACATATGCGGTTACTAATTTGAATAAAATTACGAGGCATTTATTTAAATAAATGAAAAATCAATTTTAATTAAAAATTACTTTTATGGATTATATTTAGATTTTTTATATAATTAATTTAAAAAATAATTGCGCGAACTTATATTTAGTTTAATCTGGTTAAAACTTACATTTGGTTTAATCTACAATAGAATGGAATACAAAATATTAAATGAAGAAAGTATATTTTGAATTGTTTTTTTATTTTAAAAGTAATAATTTACAATTTGGTTAAATGTAACAGTAGCATGAAAGAATTCTTTCAGCGTGAAGAACTAAAAGAACAGAATGACGGAAAGAGGATACAAGAAAACAAAAATTTTAGAATTCTAACCGTGAAGGAAAAAGAACTAAATTGCGAAGATGACAGGAAAAAAGGCGGCGGGCTAGAAAACACGATACTTGGATTCTGTGCTATTTGTCTTGAAAATATAAATTCTAATGTTAGTCAGAATGTTCCTTGTTCTAATGAGCATACTTTATGTCAACGTTGTATTCAACATTTTGCACTTCAATCAGGTTATTTAACATAATTTTCTAAAATTAATATTTCAGTAATTGTTAAAAATAAAAATAAACTAATAATAAATATTATTAAAAGTAGTATGGTTTATTGTTAGCAATATAATTAAGTATATAATAATTTTAGTTTTTCTGCAAAGTATTCTACTTCATCTTATTGGAGATTTAATAATTTAACAATTCTAGTACAATTATAGTATACATAATTTTTATTCTATCTTTTTAAATCTTCAATAAAATGATAGCATATGAAACAATTTGTAAAAATTAATATTATATTATTAACAATAAACCATATAAAAAATCTGTAACTGAAGTTCCATATTTCATAAAAAGGTGTATATTTTCATATTATTTTTGTATTTCATCTAATCAATTAATGCAATAAATTAACGGAGTACTTTCTGAAATTACAAATATATATTCCAGATCCTGGCTGCATTCTTTGTTATACACAGTGCCAACAATCAAGCATGAATTTATTGCAAGAAAGCAATATCAGCTTGAATTCCACATATACACATATGAAAAAGATGCAAATTTCACAACAGGAATCAGACTATTATTCAAAACATCATCAAAGATTGCGGCAGTGCGATCCTATCAACATTGAACAATTATATACCAAATCTTGGAATCAGAATTACTCTCATATGCTACAAAATTTCGATAGAAATACATTAACATATTACCATAATGATTTTGAAGATACTTCTGATTATGAACAAGTTAGAAACCAAAATAATATGAGCGGAGAACGAAGTAGAAATTGTGATAAAGAAAAACAGCGACAAAGTTATTGTAACTTATTTAAAAGAAGAAATGTAGAGTCATATATGTTAGAAGCAAAAGTCAACGGACAAATTACCGCAGAATGTTCTCGTAGACCGATCCGGTGCCCACGAATTGATTGTGCTATAAATGTAGCTTTCTCAGCATTGACGCATCATTTTATCTTTGATCATCCAGAGGTACCTATCCTGAATATAGAACCAGGTATCAAAAGTACACTCATCGTCAGTTTTAGTGCCTTATCTTCCAATACTAGTCGGTGCCTGGCTCTTCTTTTAGTTTCTGGCAAACTTTCGTGAGTATAAACAAGTATATTTAAATTATTAGTAATTACTTAAATTATTAGTATTATTACACAAAAATGAAAATTTTTTATTTAAGTAGAAAAAAATATCAAGTATTTGTATGTTTAAAAATCATTACTATTAACAATATAAAAAAAATAATTTAGAAAAAGTTTGCCTTTGAAACAATAAGTATTATGATTATGTAACAATTTGTGAGATATATCTACTGATATATGAATATATCACGTATGATACATATGGCTTTATTGTATTTATATTAGAATGATTCTACAAAATATGTTTTGAAAGTTGTTTAATTATTTTTTTATTCTTAATAGTAAAGAAAAGACTTTTGACATACAGATGTATTAAGGAGAATTTCAAATATTTAAATAATGCATTTGATTAACATTAAATCTTTATACCAAGAGAACCTATTGCAAAATTATTTAATGGTAGTCAAATCAACCCAAAATATCGAAATCGTTTACCATTATCAGTGCTGGCTGCTCGGCTACATTGTACAGACCAATATATATCTAACGAGAAAATTAATAAAAAAAAAGATTTTCATGAAAAAAATATAATAATCGCTTGGGTTGCTGGGCTGGATATTGGAAATACAACAGACAAACTTTTATGTAGTATTCAGGTATATTATATGATTGATAAAAAAAGTTCAGTTGAATAAAAGATTAATACCTATGTACATGATAAATGATATGCATATCGACTACTTCCACAACAGGCTGTGGACAAGATTGATAATGAAGGCTTACGTTGCCTAACATACACAGGTCCAGTGAATTCATTAAGAACAGCACAATGTCCTCAAGACATTTATTCAACAGGTGATTGTATAGTTCTGCATGAAGGTCTCCTCAGTCACATTACATCAGATTGTGCTACACTTAATGTTAATGTTACTGTACATTAAATATATTACAAAATTTACGTATATATATAATTAAATTCCAATTTATCCCCCCCCCTCCCCCATTAACATTATTAATGATTATACTTACACAGAGAAAATTGTATCTTTGATGTCTATCCAAATTGTTGAATACCGTTTGGAGTGTAATACTATGTAATAGTATATTATTATTTGAATACATGTATAAAATGCAAAAAGATAAAAAAGTATGTCTAATGTGTTATAAACTCGTCATAGCAGGAGGCCGTGCATACGCTTTTGGAATAAATCCATATTTTCGAGTTTTAGGCGCATATGCCCACAACCAACCATCTACAGTTTGATTTCCTAAATCTGCATATATCCAATCAGCTCTTCTCACAGATAAATCATCTGGCGCCTGCGCCTTATAATCATAAAGTACAACTAATTCTGTGCCATTTGTCTCATCTCGAAAATCTCGCAAACCTTTTTGCTGTAATGACTCATTTCCTGACATATTGTTATTTCCTTTTCCTTAAAATAACATAATAAAAAATTGAGATTAATTAAATTGTTAAGAATATACAAATGAAAATTCTGAATATTATTATATAACATTGAAATTAACATAAACTTCCTTCATGTATATATATTTAAAATTGTAAACTGTAAATAAATCTGAACTTAAGTTTTTTCGCGTTTTATTAACGTTAATTTTCATAAAAAAGGAGCAAAGACCAACCTAAACCATTTGTTTCTGTAGATGTTGTAGCTACTGTGGTAGTAGTGGTAGTTGTAGTAGTTGTTGCATATGAATGGAGAACATGTCCTGGATATACAAATCCAGATGGTACAAATCCTTCATTACCATCACAATGTCTAAGTACCCAAAACCAGTCAGGATCATCTCGATTGAGTACAGTTACAAATTCACCTCTTTCTACACTAACATCATTTTCATCTCTAGCCACGAAAGTGTAAAGTACAATATATCTCCCAGCTGATGGATCCTGTAACATGCATTATAGAAATAAAATATTATGTATCTCTCTGAAAATTAGTAAATTCTAAAGATTATACAAACTATACAAGTTATTTTCTTGTGCAGTATTCATAATATATAAATTTAGAAGATTTGTATACATACCTTAAAGAAAGGATGTACATCTGGCTGAGAGGATATAGTTTGAATAGAATTTTGAGACTGTGTGATGTTAGATCGATTAACATTCACATCAGCAGTGGTGACATTACGAGCATAACTTTCACAGTCTGATGCTGATCCTGTGTCAGTTTGTTGCGTATCTACAATTTGTGAACGACCTGTACCAGCAAAATCACAATCAGTCTCATTAGATCTTGGTAATTTCTTTTTCACATTATTCATAAGAGTAGCAAGTGTTAATTCAGCAAGCTGAGACGTATAAGGTGCACAATACGAATGCGGAACAAAACCTTCCATACGTGTATCAGCTGCTATTACATATACCCAGTCATTCTCTCTATATAAAACATTTACAACCTAAAACATGCAAGAAATAAAACAAAATAACACAAATAAATATGTAAGGATGAAGTTAAATAACAAATTTTATAAATAATAATATTTATAAACACAAAACAAATATAAAAACATGAAATTAGAAGGCATGAAGTAAACAAGTAACAGACACAGTGAAGAACAACGTTATTCACATATATAAAGACACATTATAAAAATTGCTAACCTGGCCTCGTTTTACTTGGAGTTCATCGTCAACACATGGTGTAAAATCATGAACAATAACCATCTTACTATCTGGTGACAGACCATTTTCTTTTTCTATACCTACTCGGACCAATGTCTCAATACTAGCACTTCCTGTTATACGACCAGGAGGCAATGGTACTTTTGTCCCTAAACCAAGTCCTGTACTGCCACCACCAGCGCAATCTTTCTCCAAATTAAAATTGTGTACTCCTGCTGTAATATAAAGTTCAAAATTTTTACTGTTATATTTCCTCCTTCATATTCAGAGTAAGGTGGCTAACTTTGTCACTTTGAATTACACTAAAATAAATAGCATAATTTCTTTTGCTATATAAAAAGATGTTTCAAATGAAAGTTATATGAAATTATGGTGTTATACAATTATTTTATATTATTATTATCAAGATTATTTTATATATATAATATGTAACATATTTTATCATGTTTTAATACATGTTTTAACATGTTTTAATACACATAAAAACAGGATAAATTTATGTTACAAGACAATAAATAGTTTATAAAGATATAAGAATCTAAAAGAATTTTGGGATATAGAATAGCACATAATTATATATAAAAAGACTATTATGTGTTCATTACTTAAGATAATAATATATTTAAAAATGACTATGAACTTCAATAATAAACTTGTTAATTCTCAATATTTTTATTTAATATATTCTTATTGTTCAATATATATAAGAAAATTTTAACCATATTTTCAGTAAAATTTCAAGCTTAAATATTTTCTTTCCGCTCAATAAATATTTAATTATTATAAACAATGAAAAGTAATTATATATAGACGCAATTTTAATAAATATATGTAGCAGCTCATATATGTATACATACAGTGTATTTTATATATTACATTTTTAATAGAAAATAAGATTGAAAGATATCTTTACAAAATTATTTGATATTTTATTACTCACGTTTCTTTTTCTTTCCTCGACGTATGCGAACCGGACACAAAAAAGCCATTATGCTTTTTTAAAGTTCAGACAAAATTATATTTCCAGAACATGAATCGTTCGATGCAAGGTATTACTGAGGTAAAGCATAACAAGGGGTAAATATATTAAACATTTCAGTAAAAATGATCCGCTCTTCTCACATCTTAAAAATTATATCGGTATTTCAAATATTTTAGTACTTATTAGTACGAATACGATATAAAGGTATAATCGTGGGTATAACGGTAAAATCTCGAACCAGAAACACAATTACTCCTTCGTTCTCCTGAAGGATTTTAGATGAAGATGAAACTGAAATTTAGATATTCATAGTCGTGAATGCAACAGGTAGACGGCGCTTCAGCAAATATACTATTGTATAACAATATGTCAAACAAATGTTTGTTTATATTGTTCAAAATATGCATCTTTCGAAAGAAGGTTTCTTATAAATAAGAAAATTCGTTATCCCATTTTATTGATAGATGGTTATTTTTTAAATATTGGTATTTTTAATAGTACAGTTTGAACGTACAAGTATAAAATTTATTGCTTATTTTAAATTATGCAGATATTATGAATACATAAAGATGTTATTCGACAAACGCATTTAAGATTAATATAATAAATATAATTATTTATACGATCATATAGATAGCTTATTATTGTAAACTTACGGTGCCATGTACGTTCCAACTGAAATATAAAAGTTATTTTTATATATAAATTTTATAATAAATGATTGTATAATTACAATTAATTACGAATATTCTGGTTTATAATATAATTCGTCAAGAACTTAAATAATATATACCTGGTATTCAACTTTTGCAGTAATTTAAAAATATAAAAAAAAAGATTTATAAAGGGTAATACTTTAAATTATTTTTGGTTAATGAATATATATTGATATGTGAGTATATATGTATATAACAAATTTGATACAAAAATTACATAGATTAAATAATATGTAATACTGAATTTTTTAAGTCAATAAATAAATAAAATAAAAATGCTTAATAATTTCCCAAATTTATATATATGAGAAACGAGAATACCTTTACTACATAATAAAAATAAGATACTCGTGAAAATAAATTGTGATTCTATTTTTGGATAAATTATTATGATATAAATACTAATAAGTTTAATGAAAAGAAATCGAAGCAATAACATGAAAAGAATCTTATTTAATCGAAACGTCGTTTATTATCTCAATTAATATAAATGACGATAATAGCCTTATCTATAACAATTTTCCCTCATATACATTCAACAATGAGTATTTTTTTGGAAAATAATTATATATACATTTACCCTACAATTATGCCAAAAATCAGATCAATACTGGAGCTATATTTCATATATCCATCGTTATATATCGACCCATAAGAATATGGAATTCGTCGTTCGAATGTAGAAATTCGATCATACAAAAATTCAAAATAATGTTTAAAGTGATTAGAAAATTGTATAATGTTAAATTGTTCTAAACCGCTTTCATTATTTTTTTTTTATAGTTAGATAGTATTATTCAAAAGTTCAACACTATATAAGTACGTTATCAGAGACATGGCCTTACATATATTAAAGATTCTGATAGTAAAACATTTTCGAAAGTCTTATATATTTAAAAAAAAATTTAGAATATTGGAGGAGCCATCCATATATTTCTTTTGTCACTTTTGCACCTTTTTTGTTGTAAAATATACAAAATTCAAATAAAACATCAAATTTTGTACTTTCATATTGCACTTCTTTTATGTATTTAATTTCTTATGAGTATTCGTTAATTATGTAGTGTACGAAACACATTTACAGTTGCTTACGAAAATATTCGAACACTTATAAAAAACTTTTATGAATATATTGTGTGCGTGATACAAGACATTTTAATATTTCGCTAACATTGTAATGAGATTTAGTTACCATGAGTATATTAGTAGTTTGAAATATATTAGAAAATGTACATAGAAGATACAAAATATGCAGTGCAATTTTTAACATTTATTATATATTCAAACGGTTATTCTCTCTCTCTCTCTCTCTCTCTCTCTCTCTCTCTCATGCTGCATATTAATTTTTTATTAAATATATGTTCGCAATAAATATCTTGTAACTTGTATATACATTTTCAGATTAGTTTCAAATTTAACCAAGATAATAGTAATGTCTCATTACAGCGCTACTGCAATTTTTAAATGTTTTATATAATACATACAATATATATATATTACGTATATATATACGTAAAAGTTTTCTTTGACAAGTGTTGAAATACTTTCATGAGCTTCTGTACGTTTAACTCTATTATGCCATCTATCAAAGAGTAAATGTAAGTTAAGAAAATAAACTATTGATAGCGTGCATGATAATTCACGCAAGAATCTCAGCACATTTTACTAGCATAATATACATACATACCACGTCCCCGGTAAATACAAATGGTTTCCATATTACTAGTCAATTAACATAGCCGATAGCTTCTGTTTGTTGTTTGTTTCACCGACAAAATAAATTCGAAGTCAGTCTGAAATAAAACGTTCTATTATCCTCGAAAGAGTGTGCACACTATTTATATATGTTAACAAGGATCAATAAACACACTAGTTATTATTACTAAATTCGATCATAAAGCAATATTTTACGCATATTTTATCTTATAATTATCACGCATAAGGTCGTTTAATTCTATGAAATAAATTGCGTCGAATAATAATGTTTTATTGCATCTGAATATTTAGCATAATGAACGCTTTATCTATCGCTCAATAGTTTATTTTCTTGAATTCTGGATTCATGGATATATAAAGAGAAAACAATGGGAAACTCGTTCGATTGGTATTTCATATCTACACCTAACATGAGCACGGAATTCTATTATAGCCTAGCATTTGAAATGAGAATCGAACGAGTTTTTTAATATTAATGTATTAATATACGCATATTGAATACAATATTGCGCACAATATTGAGCGTATGCGTATAATAATGCAATAATTATACTACAATTACTATTCACCCGCGCACGTGATTACGTCTTCTCGTTTTTTCAAATTGAACTAAATGTATCATAACAGTAACGATATTTCTTATTTACGAAACACTTAATAACATCTTGTTTTATTTTTTATAAATCACCTTAATTAATTCAAGAGCCGACTGGCAGAATAATATCTATTCGAACGAACGAAATCCACATTAACGCGTTTTCGTGCATAAATGTTAATAAAGTCAGGCGTCGCATATTATGTATTTATTTGTAAACTTCCCATTTTTAACTTAAAATACATCACCCATTCGAAATTAAAATACATCTTTAGTCATGGCAGTTACATGATTCTTTTATCGAAATTTTTATACGCAGATCTCGGATATATGCAAAAAAATCGACCTTCCTATGCGATTCATACATGTACTATTTACCACAATATTCTAGTTATTCTATAATAAACCGAGTGTATGAAAATCATAAATTACTACACTGTTCACCTTAGGTGGGATGCTTATATTATTACAACAATACGATGTAACATACATGTCATATATATATATATATATATATATTATATATTATATATATAATATAAATATATAAATATATATATATAAATAATATTATATATATATATATATATATATATATATTGATCAAATGTTATATGGAGTATAATTATGAATGCATTTATCCTACGTTATCAATTGTATTTATACACTTTTATCAATTTTTTCCTTTCTCTAACAGATTGCTTTGAAAATTCATGATTTACTTAGATTTAAAAAGCGAGTGTTTCTTTTTTATGAATAATAAAATTGGAAATGGAAATTTCTTAATGCGTTGTGCTTTAATATGATACAAGAATTACTGGCACTCTTGTTACATTAGAAAAATGTACGTGATAAGAGATCTCCGAAGCAGTCTCGAAATATGTGTATATGTATATTTCAAATACACAAATATATAATTACTGTTTCCTTTGCTATATCATATGTAAATATGTGTAAGATTTATATCATATTGTTCTAATATGTACCTGATACAAAAAGCTTTTAAAGCTTATAAAACAACCTTTCTAATACATGTTTAATTTTTAAAATATTTTACACATTTAAAATATTTAACTAGCACTTTAAAAAAAGAGAGAAATTCATGTTGTTATAATTTAATAAGAGTACATTGAATTTTCAAAATTTCAGTTTAAATTTAGGTTTAAATTATGCTTCACTTTACATATTGTGAGATGGAACAAATAAAACAGTGACAAAAGATTTAAGAAAATAAAAGAATACGCAAATATTTAAATTAATGATTAAGAAGAAATATATGGTGACAACATATACAAATATAAAGATATATATTATATAAGTATGTATACCTTTATATTTTTATATTCGCGTATTCTTTTATTCTTAGATATCTAGTGTGTATTTCTAGGTATATATGCATCTCTAAATCAGTATTGGTTTTGCAAGGATAGTTGGAAAAAATGTGTTGCTTCTATTATTGCATGTACATGCTATTATAGCAAATAAAAATGAAAATAACATTGAATAAGAATCAGTTGTGCTTGTAATTTCGTTTCAGAATTCTCTATAAAAATCTTGGTTGTATTATCTCTATACAAATTAATTTTTGATCGTGTAAAAATATTTGTAATAAATCACATTTAATGTTTTAAAACCCACAGGGTCAAATTCTTTTAATTTTATATATAACTAAAATGATATGTAGATACAATGTCACAAATAAATATCGATATCAAAAGATAGATAGATAGATAGATAGAGAGAGAGAGAGAGAGAGAGAGAGAGAGAGAGAGAGAAAGAGAGAAAATATACATAACACGATTTTACGCATTTTTTTATAAAATAATATTCATTTCAATCCTTTATCCAACTGTTCATAATTGAAATTAAGTTTTTTTTATAATACAAGAATAACTAAACATACAAAAAGTTAATAATTTTTGTATGTAAATTAAATTTCCTCGATTTAGTATATCGCTTGAATAATAATTTTATAATTTTGAAATGTATAAATAATTAACTTATTTTATTTACAATCACTCAAATATGAAGATTACTAGCGAAAAATATAATTTTATTGTTTCGCGCTATAAAAACGATAACTAGAACATAATCGAGATTTCTGATATTCTGGAGTAATACGAACTGTTGAAATACACCTAGATTTTTGCTTAGAACATTCCTAATATAATAATATAGCACCTAAAGATTTTTTGTACTTTAGCAATAATTTGCATGATAATATTATCAATATAAACATACATCTATGGTACTTGAATCATATTTACATTATGCAATCATGACTATAAAAAAGTAAATGGAAAGCAATCTAATCTCTTATTTTCTGACCAGTGTTTAATTTTACAATTAAACGAATGATCATAAAAATCTTGCGGCATATTTAATATGCACAGGAAACCTATTTAACACGTTCCGTGCTGGACCGATTTTTTGTTACTTTCCATTCAGGCCGCGTCAGACATATACCCCCCCCCCCCCGTTATTACGATTGATAGTTTTGCTTATGCCTTACATTTTTTTAAATAAGTTAATATTAATAATAGCGCAAATAACATAATTATCAAGAAAGGGGTGTATTGTTTACGACGTATTAGAGATCAAAGTAATAAATTTAATTTTTGTTTTATTTTTTAATTTGTGGAATTGTTTTAACAAACACATGATTGAACATTTATTCCACTAAAATTCCAAATGCCTTGGACAGGAAGTTCAGCGTGGGG